CACGGGGTAGGTGGAATGAAGATGCCACCTTGCGCTAACGTAACAGACGGTAGCTGCAAGGAAGCTAGACGCCCGAAAAAGAAACGTGATAGCGGCTAGAAATGGGAGAACGTTTAAGTGTACAACCTTAAATTGTGGCCCTGAAAAGGGCCGGTGGAGCGTTCCCCGCGTCTAGCCGAACTAGCCGCCGAAGCCATAAAGGGTACGGCCCTGGCGCTTGAGTGCGTAGACTACGTCCATGGCAGTAACAGTCTTGCGCTTAGCGTGCTCTGTATACGTGACAGCATCGCGGATGACGTTCTCGAGGAACACCTTGAGCACTCCACGAGTCTCTTCGTAGATGAGGCCAGAAATTCGTTTCACGCCCCCTCGTCGAGCAAGGCGCCTGATGGCGGGTTTAGTAATGCCTTGAATATTGTCCCGGAGAACTTTACGATGGCGCTTAGCGCCACCCTTGCCAAGACCTTTGCCTCCTTTACCTCGACCTGACATTTTTGTGGGGATAAGAGCTCACAAACGTGGGTCACCTAACAGAGAATATAAGGCATCTGTTTCGCACTATTAAGGAACAACACAAACCAATAGAATAACAGAATCTGGTTGATATAAACAAAACTTTTTCTGTAATAGAATGTAATATCTTTATAAATTATTTACAATAATTTTATATTTTGAATTATTTTAAATAATTTTATATTTTAAATAATTTCATAATACATTTATCAGGGTGCTATTTTCTTTTTTTGGGACTCATGCATTTTTACAGTTTTACTTTGATTTACATGACCCAGTAAAAATGCAGATTGAAAGCAATCGTGTAAGGGAACGCAACTGATAATATTAATCAAAGCTATGAAAACCAAGGTGATGTGGCTTTTTGTGTGGCCGCGATCTCCTTCCGTTTTATAGAAGTAATTTGGTATTGTTTTCTCAACTTGGTCATATTGAAACGAAGAGGTAGAGGTAGGCAGCTTGTTCGGAGTCCATAGTATGCATGATAATTTCCATGGTACATTTTCGGACGTTTTGCTGGTATTGTCAGTGTTCAACATTCTGCCTTAAGCCTTGATAGCTCGTATACACCAGCCTCACTGAGTAAGCCCCTAAAGCCAGGATTCTCATTTGGCATGGCCACCTAAATTGACGCTACAGATTCCTTTTACACTGTACCGCATAGGCACTCAGTAAATATCGTGGTCAAGTCTTTGCTTCATGTACCACGTCTATGAGCAAGCTTATCTACTAATAGTTTACTAGAAATGGTCATCACCTCCCCAAGGATGTCAACGGCCTCCTTACTCTTGCGATTCTTTGTGTTGTCCCCGTATGGAGTTCTTCTTTCTGTTGCAATTCAATTGATCTCGTGTCCAGTCTGTGCGATGTGTTCCGCTAGTTCTGATCTTTCTGTATCCATTTTCCTACAGAGCCTCTGATGTTCCTTGATTCGTGTGCTAATTTTTCTTCTTGATTCGCTACTATATTTTTGACCGCAGGCGCCGCATAATATACAGTCAATTCCTGTACAATCCAATTTGTCTACTCTTCCATGTTGCGTTAGTAGATTTGTGAAAAGAGTTGATTTCTCCTTCATGACCATCTGAATATTCCATTTACTCAATATTAACCGTAGTTATTTAGTTAGTTCGCAGGAGGGTGGGCATATCCACTTTTGTGAATCTTTCATCGTCCTTACTGTCCTTTCATAGTCCGCGTTCTGCCATCGGTTTTTCACGGCCCGTATGTTCCTTTATATTAATTCGATAGGGCAGCCATTACCAAGGAATATCCGCGTCAATTTGTCCAGTTCCTCGTTCCATAATTCTACATTTGTTGAACGTAGGCTTCGGATGATCATGCTTCTTATTATTCCAATCTTTAACCTGTTATTGTAATGGGACCGGAAATTGAGAGTGTTTAGGAGCTCTGTTCAGTAAAGGGGCAGTATATGTGCTTCTAGGGCCTTGAGAAATAGCGCCTGGAGTGAAATGCACACCGGGACTGGAACCGAGTGAAATCGGTAAACCAGAAAGATAAGGAACGGATCTACGAGAGAATAAAAGGATCTGGATTGGAGGCCTGAGTTGGATAAGCCTATAGAAAGATAAGGGTGGGTGTAAATAGCAGGTGTGATGGGGCCATATTAGATTTGCCAAAAAAGGGCACACATTTTTGACGAGTGGAATGTAAACAAGTAAGGAGTTGTGACAGGGCGGTAGCGGGATAAGAGTGTAAAGAGTAGATAGATAGGCCAGGACAGAAAAAGGAGTGATAGTGTAACCGTTTTCGGCAGAACGATTGTCGAGGCATTGACTTTACTTGTGTCTGACGAGTTCGTAGCTTAGTGTGGCGAATGGAAAAGCTCACTGATAATGCCGACTACGATGCCAGCAAAACGTTTGAGAATGTATCAAGTCCACTGTCAGATTCTGGGAATCATAATGTTTTCTCTCAAATAAGATAGGCGAATTTGTGAAGAAGTGGAGCATAAAAACAGTGTTTAAAGAAACCCTCACCCTTTCTTCTATTATGCCCTCTTTTGAGAAAAATATGACCACCCATTATCGAGATCCGGCTGCCACAAGATTGTTTGCTCATGTGGTCGATGTTATTTTGGTGAGATATGCCGACCTATTCGACAAAGATTGGTAGAAAACAAATATGGTTGCAAAGGTAGCTGGATCCAACGGTCAGAAGTGGCTGAACACATGGCTGGTATTCGGAAAAAATTAGAAATGAATGATCAAATAGTTCTTCAGACAGATAAGGAAGGAGTGACAGTTGTAATGGACAGAAAGCATTACACGGAGAAGATGGAAAGTATCCTAGGTGATCACAACACTTATCAAATACTAAGGAAGGATCCAACCACGAAGATCAACGGAATACT